CGCTCTACCTTGTAAAGGGTCATCCGCTTCCCTCCCTTTCAAGAGGGAGCGGGTTATTCTAAACAAGGCGGCTGGGCGCGATTCAGCGGACGCAATAAGAGCGGCAAAATGCGCACATTTCGCCGCCCGTATTGCCACAAGATAGGCTCTGATGTAGGCTCTCATCAGTGCTCGGTCTGACTCAGAGTTACTGGCCCTCCAGCGGCGCTATAGACGTCTCTTTTGGCACTTCATCTCCCGGAGTTCCTCGGTAAACTAAGGAGCCCTCCTGGATCCGCTACCTCGGAGAGGCTGTAAAGGTGCAATCCGGTTTAGAGCCCCTGCCACCACTGAATTCCAAGCAGCAATTAAGGTCACCACTGGACTGTGGACGAGAGCGTCAGGTATTACACCAAGCGCCGTCTGAAATCCCACAGGGTCCATCAGGCGCCTGGGGTGGAACCACCTAATCGGTTCATATTCATATTTCTTTCTAGACTTTGTACAAAATATATTTTTTTCTTTTCTATTACTATAAAGAACATAAGAAATTGTTATTTTGCTGCCAAGTAGACTTTGGAAACACAGGAAAAATGGTGTAAAAATGTATCCAAAATTGCATTTATTATTAAATAATTATTCAGGAAACAAAAGTCCTTTGTCTGATTTTTACAAACATCTCAAGTTGCTTTAATTTGAGATATGCTGTACAGCCCTTCTTTGAAACTAGAAAATACTGGTATTTTCTAATTAAGTATAAAATTTGAATACTTACTGTAAAATTGATTAAATCATAATGCAAGTGTAGCTGCTTCTGCTTTGTAACATGTATTGCTCCAGATTCATCTCTTTTTACCTAATGGAGAAGTTTATCCCATTATTCTTTGATATCTCCCTTGCAAATAAAGATTCTTTAGTATTACGTTTGTAACTTACTAATCTTTGCAAGCAATACTTACAAGTTACAATATATTTGAAGATATTTATACTGTACTTAGTATATTTACATAATGGAAAAAAAGACAAATATAAATTGTAGTACAAACTCTGAATCATCTAGAAAACAATTGTTCTAGGCATTTTGGCATGAATATCACTACAGACCAATCTTATGGTTTGCAATAACCTTTGTTAATAATAGGATCATTCTAATTTGCAACAAAACTATCACATATGAACATTCATTTAAAAATACAGCCATTTCCAACTCAGGAGCCAAGTGCAATAAAATATGTTTCATTAATTTTAAGGCACAGCACTTCAAACTTGGCAACTTGAAGACTTGTGGACTTCAACTCTGTTAGGTAAGCTCCCCGTTGGGAGAGCAAGTACATTCAGCAAAGCGTTGTGAGAGTTGTGTTGGAGAACATACAAACCAGCATACAGAAACACTGCAGTTTAAATAGGCTTTTACTTT